CTCCTACCCTTCAGTCTGCTAACTGCGTCCTACCGTTTTGCTTTAATGGTATTGTTGCTCTTGTTGATCTCGCTCTTCTCTCTCTAACTCTCATGGCGTGCTCTACATTCTAGCTCTCCTCTTATACTTCTTTCTTGTGTTGTTCTTCGTCTCCTCTCTCAATCTCTCTCTCTACTCACCTCAAGTATCCTTTCTATTTCTCATCTAATACTCTCTCTTTTGCGTCTCGTCCCTCCACATCTCTCTGACTCTCTCCTCTCCCGCTCTCCGGAAACCCGATACTTTATTAACATGCAGAAAATTAGCTGCACGACAAAACTCTTGTTTCTAATATCACACTACCTATTAGTAAAGCGGCAACTTGTCCACTTGTTGTTGCCGATCTCTCTCTCTCGACCACTGCTGATTTTTCTTGACGCGGCTATACGCACCTCTCTCTCGCTCTCTACTCTCCTCACCCTCTTCTCTCTCTCTCTCTCTCTCTTCTCACTTTCTACTCTCTCCTAGCCTCCTTTCTCTCTCTCTCCGCATCCAGTGTTTCTCCTGCCGGTAGGACCACTCCCTCTCATCCTCTCTCATAGCGTACTAAAGTCCCTAAAATACAACTACCAAATCTTCTCGTTCAGTTTAACCTTGATGTCCTCGCCTCTTGTCCCCTAGTTTTGATTGCTTCCGGTGGACTTCCAATCTCACCTGCCTCCCTCAGCCAGCTTCGTCTCTCTGAACTTGTATCTACGTTACGCGCGACCCTTCAGCGGCCACACCTCTCGATCGGGATGCTGCCTCTAGAATGGGTCTTATAAGTCTTTATTTCAACATGTGTCTTACTACTATGAACCCTGTAATATAGGGACCAATCTAACCAATAGATGGCGCCACATGCTAGGTTTGAAGTGCAAGTGGTGGCACCCCCTCATTTGATACTGTGGCAGTAAAAATATATGTCATCACTTGAAGTTAAACAATGCAAGACATGTAAGATGTGGTTGGAATAAGCCCCCTTATAAATCGAACTTCACAGAAAACCGAACTGAATGGATGGTCCTGAGGGTGGTCGGTAGAGAGAGAGTTTACTTTATTGCGAAACATTAAGTCATGCTATTTAATGAAACTTCGGCCATCATTCCACTCAGCAACGACCACAAATGTCATATTTTTTCTTCGCTGTACTTCTCTCATTGATCTTTGTTCCCCGTACGTTTGTTTACTCGTCATTCTTCACTCTTTCTTCGCCATACGTTTGTTCTTTCTCCATAATTTTTTTAATGAAACTGTCGTTGTTTGCAGGAAAAATTGGACTA